ATACTGATGAATCTCAAAAATAAGCTGAGCAAGAGAAGCCACACTCAAAAGAGTACTTACTGTTATGATTCCACTTAAATGAAATTCTAAAAAAAGAAAACAACTCTACAGGCAGAGAGAACAGATCAATGACTGCCCAGGACCAGGACTAGGAGAGCAGGAGGGAAGGGAACAACTGCAAAGAGGTAGCAATGAATTTTTGGAGGTGGAGGAAATGTTTTACCTCTTTATTGTGGTGATGATTATATGGGTGTTTACATCTGTCAAAAAACACATTGAAATTGGTACATTTTATTGTATGCCAATTATACTCAATAAAGTTGACTTTTAAAAAATAGAAGAGAACTCCTAGGATAACAGCTGTGAAGCAGACCTAAGAAGCAATCATTCCAAATTAGAAAAAAAGGTTGGAAGACTTCAAGGAAGTTTCCAGGGTAGAACTAGAATTGGCAATTATCCATATGGAAAATTATATTAAGAAGCCATTGGATAGTGTGGGAAGAATTGGCATAGATACATTAAAAACTAACAAAACTTTAAAAAGGCAATTAACTCTGGAAAAATTAAAAATTGTTCAAGAAAGAAAACATTATTATAGTATATTACTTGACTTAATAGAGACTAAACTTGTGAAAGTGACATAAGTACATTAGGAGGATGAGGAGAAGGAAGGAGAACAGATGAAATCTTCATCTGACACAATAGAAAGGCACTAATGTCTAAAACTGATAAAGAAATAGCTGCATGAACTTAACATTTAGACGTATGCTATACAAGTATACTTTTTAAGAAACAGCTAAAAGAATCAAAAGTACCTGCCTTAGGCACCAAGTTTGGTAGGTCTGACACACATTAGTATTTGATTAAAATTTTTAAACTATTTTAAACAAAGGAGGTGGATATGTTCAACAGTATTATTAATGTTGCAGAGTGGTTGAGTAAGGACAAAAATATCCAAATGTGTTAACCAGGAAGACACTAGTGATCTTAGGGGAAAAAGTTTCAGTGACGTGGACAGGCCAGAAGTCATATTATATTGGATTTAAATGGAAGGTAAGAATGCAAAATATCAACTGTGCACAGTTGTCCTATTCTTTGAGTACATGAGGTTAAATGGCAGGGTTTCTTCTCTCCCACCTTGCTGTATATGAAAGAACAAAATGGAGTAATGGAGTATCCCAGTCCATACTCCTCTTGTCTCAGGAGGTTTGTGTGTCATTGCAAGAGAGTGACAACCTTCCATCAGCAAGTGAGAGAGAAGGAATGAGTCACTTTCTTTTATTCATTCATTCAACACACAGACATTAAGGGCCTCCTATGGGCCAAACTCACCAACCTCTGTGAGATGACAGGGACAAAGAAATGAAGAAGACAAGGCTCTTAGCCTATCACACAGTATTTGCCACAAAAGGTAATAAAGTACAGAAGAAAAGCCAGGAGCTATTCAGTGCAGCCCTACTCATCCTCAATGGCCAACCTCTAAGAAATCCCTCCCTCCTTCTAGGCCAGGAAGGAAAAGCTCAGGAAAAATTTGGATCCCCCTAGCACTCAGTAATCTTACTCCTAGGGACCAAAATAACATCTGTGAAGAAGCCAAAATAATTTCTGTTTTTCAACATCAAAGCAGCTGTGTGTTTAGATGCATGAGAAATGTGGAAAGTTTCAGTGCTAGGTCATGGTTTCCAATGCTATTCAGATTCTCGTGTGCTTTCAGCCTAATTGTTCTCAGACCCTAGGCCTACGTTTAACTATTTAATAGAGGAAGTGAGTACTACCCAGAAAGATAAACTGAGAATCTTTCCAAGATCAAGTCACAAAAATCTTTGCATAAGCCAACAGTAAAAGCAAGCAAAGCTGCCTCTAAGCTGTCTGAATCAGTCTCCCTCAGAGCCCTTCTGAGATCCTGACAGTTCATACTTACAGTGCCAGTTGGACTCTCAAATATCCCAATCTTGCCAGCCTCCAATAGTTGGTACAGCTCTGCCATGAAGTCTTTCTGGATGGAATATGGTGTATAGGGAAAAGGGAACTGGATGCCACCAATCTCTTGAGTTTTATTAGTCATGGTCCTAGAAAAAATAAATAAATAATACACATACACACACACACACACGTATGTATACATACATGTATGTGTATACACATATATATACACATACATATATTTATGTGTGAATATATACACATACATACATACATACATATATAGGAACTCTGGTGGTATAGTGCCTAAGGCATCTGACTGCTAACCTTCTGGCGGTTCAAATCCACCAGCCACTTCTTGGAAGGAAGGTTGGGCAATCTACTTATGTAGTGATACTGCCTCAGAAACCCAAGGAGGGGTCGTTATGAGTCGGATCTAACTCCGTGGCAGTGACTGCATTTTGCGTTTACACACACACACACACATACACACACACATACATACAGTAGCTCTCCAACAATTCAGAAATTGACTTAAAATCTAGAGTAGCACACAGGAACAGTCTCTACACTTGTGGAATTTTTCCTTAGGTTGTACATGCTTGTGCAGGCAGAGCCTGTTTTATGTCCATCCTTTGTATACCCTCATGAAGCTATACAAAACCATGCAAATCATCTAGAGACCTTTATCAGAAATATCTGTATCAAAATGCAGACTGGGAAAGGCCCTAAGCAAAACCTCCCCTGACATTTCACCCTTGCTTGGATACCTTCCTAATGCATCCATGAAAGACTTTGAGATTTCCCCTTCAATACTTGTGCGGCAGGGCCTTGTTGCTGGCAATTACTTCTGCTGTGTTCTTCTCCCAGGGCCCTGCACTGCAGCATTCACATGACAAAATGGCTTCATCTTATTCTGTTGTGAAGACCTAGAAAGTCATGACACACAGGTGGAGAATAGTTTAGCTTTCCTTTTGCTCTTAGTTCATCCTATTTTCCACTTCCATTAAAACCAAAGTCTCCTCCTAATAATTTTTCTGACCTCAAGAAATAAAAGCTTTCCTGTCTGGTTCCATACTGGGAGAGCTCTCTGCAGTGACTAAATCCAGGCTGGAACACCTTCCTGATATAAGTATATCTCGGAGATACTGTGGTTCGGTTCCAGAGTACCATAATAAAGCGAATATTGCAATAAAGTGAGTCACATGAATTTTTTGGCTTCCCGGTGCATATAAAATTATGTTTACATTATACTGTAGTCTATTAAGTGTGCAAAAGCATTATGAAAAAGTTTTAAAGTATTGTGAGAATTACAAAAATGTGACATAGAGACACAAAGTGAGCACATGCTGTTGGAAAAATGGTGCCAACGGACTTGCTCAATACAGGGTTGTCACAAACCTTCAATTTGCAAAAAATGCGATGTCTGTGAAGTGTAATAAAGCAAAAATGTAATAAAACAAGGTATGTCTGTACAGAAAACCAAAAAATGAAACCCACTGCTGTCAAGTTGATTCTGACTCACAGTGAATAGGACAGAGTAGAACTGCCCCACTGGGTTCCCAATCTTTATGGACGCAGACTGCCACATCTTTCTCCTATGGAGCTGCTGCTGCTGCTGTTGTTGTTGTTGTTGTAGTTGTTATGTGCCGTCAAGTCGGACCTAACTCATAGGGACCCCCCCTTGTGTTTCTGAGGCAGTATCACTACGGAAGTAGATTGCCCCATCTTCCTTCCGAGGAGCAGCTGGTAGGTTTGAACCACCAGCCTTCTGGTTCGCAGTCAAATGCCTTAGGCACTATGCTACCAGAGCTCCCCATGGAGCTGCTAGTGGGTTTGAACTACCACCAACCTTCTAGTTAGCAGCCAAGTGCTTATCCACTGTGCCACCAGAACTCCTTACTAACAAGTTTTGAGCATCTACTATGTATAAAACAATCTACAGGCCTTTTGCTTTTATTATTTCATTTAATCTGAACAACACTGTAAAGATAGAGCTGTTGGCTACTGACACACAAAAACTAAACAATTTCTCAAAGTCACAGCTAATAAACCCAAGTCCACATGACCCTGCTTTAGTCAAATTCATCTGACTGCAAGAGACAACTAGCACAAGTAAAAGAGGGATCTACTGAAAAGATACATATTGAGAGATTAAGAATTTACTAATACTGAGACCACAGTAATTCTCCTTCTTTGCAAAGCCAAGCCCTTAAAGACTTCTCTGCTCCACCTTTAATCTTTTTCTCCTTTTTAAAACCTAATTTCTCTGAAATAGCTTTTATATACACTTTTTTCCTTTAATCACCATATGGAGGACTGACTCTTTCATCCTGTCCTTTGGAAATCGCTTCTCCAGGCTATTTGACAGGTTTATTTCCTCTAAATTCTAAGTACAAATACTAACAACCTAAAACCCATTTACATTTTTACTATTCCAGCCTCAACAGACACTGTCAATTAATTTATGAGGGAAAATGTAGTTGCCATGGTGCTCTTCCAGTTACAGTTTAAAGGCAATTAAAAACCTGCAGAGGTAGAGGGATTACGATAAGAAGGAAGACAGCAAAAAATTAGGATAATTCAATACTAAGAGGGAAGTATGTAACCGAAAAACCATTAAAACATAAAGGGAAAGGGGAAAAACAAAGGCACTTAACAAGTTTTGAGCATCTACTATGTGTAAAACAATCTACAGGCCTTTTGCTTTTATCATCTCTTTTAGTCTGAACAACATTGTAAAGATAGAGCTGTTGGCTACTGACACATATGAAAACTAAACAACTGCTCAAAGTCATAGCTAATAAATCCATAGCTAATAAACCCTGCTTTAGTCAAATTCATCTGACTGCAAGAGACAACTAGCACAAGTAAAAGAGGGATCTACTGAAAAGATACGTATTGAGATTAAGAATTTAGACTCTCTGGAAAGAACCAAGAACAAAAGTCACTGACGGGGGGCGAAGGGAGGAGAGGCCGAGTGGGTGGAGGGAGGGGAAGGGCGGGAGAAGAAAAAGGTGGGAGGAGAAAAAGGTGGGAGGGTGGCGGCTCACTCAGGACCCAGTGGGGGCAGTGCGATGAGGCGGGTGACCCTGTTCCTTAATGGCAGCCCCAAGAATGGAAAGGTGGTTGCTGTATATGGAACTTTATCTGATTTGCTTTCTGTGGCCAGCAATAAACTCAGCATAAAAGCCACCAGTGTGTATAATGGGAAAGGTGGACTGATTGATGATATCGCTTTGATCAGGGATGATGATGTTTTGTTTGTGTGTGAAGGAGAACCATTTATTGGGCTCCTGTTATATGATGATCAATCTTCTACACTTGTCCTATGTATTTGAAACCTTCTAGAAGCTCTGGTAGCATAGTGGCTAAAGTACTTGACTGTTAACCAGAAGGCTGGCGGTTCAAACGCACCAGCCACTCCTCGGAAGGAAAGTTGGGCAATCCTACTTCCATAGTGATACTGCCTCGGAAACCCAAGGAGAGGTCGCTATGAGTTGGGGCCGACTCGACGGCACATAACAACAACAACATCAAATGAAATGATCCTCAGACAGATTCTAAACCGCCTGAAGGACTGACAGGATCCCACACAGAGTGGCTAACATTAAATGTTGGAGGGCGGTACTTTACAACTACACACATTACTCCTACCAGGTTATAGCATGCATCTTTTTGAGAGAGCAGCTGGGATCGAGTATACTCTTGACTTAAGTATGTTTCTTTATAAAGACAAATGGAGAAATCAATTTTTTTTCCCTGAATTCTTAGGAGCACTTTAGTGAATAAAGAACCTGACAGTATGCTGGCCCACATGTTTAAGGACAAAGATGTCTGGGGAAATAAGCAAGATCATAGAGGAGCTTTCTTAATTGACCGAAGTCCTGAGTACTTTGAACCCATTTTGAACTACTTGCGACATGGACAGCTCATTGTAAATGATGGCATTAATTTATTGGGTGTGTTAGAAGAAGCCAGATTTTTTGGTATTGACTCACTGATTGAACACCTAGAAGTGGCAATAAAGAATTCTCAACCGCCAGAGGACCATTCGCCGATATCCCGAAAGGAGTTTGTACGGTTTCTGCTTGCCACGCCAACCAAGTCAGAATTACGTTGCCAGGGTTTAAACTTCAGTGGTGCCGATCTTTCTCGTTTGGACCTTTGATACATTAACTTCAAAATGGCCAATTTAAGCCGCTGCAATCTTACACACGCTAATCTCTGCTATGCAAATCTTGAACGAGCAGATGTTTCTGGATCAGTGCTTGATTGTGCAAATCTCCAGGGGGTCAAGATGCTCTGTTCTAATGCTGAAGGGGCATCACTGAAACTGTGTAATTTTGAGGATCCCTCTGGTCTTAAAGCCAATTTAGAAGGTGCTAATCTGAAAGGTGTAGACATGGAAGGAAGTCAGATGACAGGAATTAACCTGCGCGTTGCTACATTAAAAAATGCAAAGTTGAAGAACTGTAACCTGAGAGGAGCAACTCTGGCAGGAACTGATTTAGAGAACTGTGATCTGTCTGGGTGTAATCTTCAGGAAGCCAACTTGAGAGGTTCTAATGTGAAGGGAGCTATATTTGAAGAGATGCTGACACTGCTACATATGTCACAGAGTGTCAGATGAGAATTTCTCGGGCTGGAGGAAGATGTCCAAGATGAGAAATGTTTTCCATATCACTTTTCTTTCTCCACCCACTCAGTTATCTAGAAGAAATAACTGTAAGGGACTGAAAAAATATTTAGAAGATTATAGTTGTTCTCAGTGGTGGATAAGGGGAAAAAATGACTTTTTTCCCACATTCTGATTATAAAGGAGAAGCACTCGTTGTAATAGATGTAGGGAATCTGGATGATATTGCTGCCTTTTGAATGAATGAGGTAGGGAGATTTGCCTGACTTTATGACTAGGAATAGTATCTGTTACATTTGCTTTTAAATAGGCATGACATGGACATACCATCTTGGTTTGAGGAGTTTAATTTATGAAAAGCACAATATATGCAATTACGTTTATTGAATATCTAGATGCAATATGGGTATTTAAATTGTTAAACTTTATGAAAATTTTGAAAAGGTTGTTCAGGTTTATAAAATAGCTTTAGTGATGTTTCCCCTACTTTAAGTACCTGTCACACTGTATCGATATGGTGGGAGCATGCCCCAAGGCTCTCTTTTCAGGTTCATTTCTATAATGTTTACTTTTTAGAACAGACCAGTAACTGAGTTAAAGAAATTCCTCCTCCTTACCGATTGAGATAGAGTGGAAGGAAAGACAACATTGTACAATATTTTCATGCTGAAACTACAGTGGAACTCTCCAGATGTTTAAAGAATTTACATATAGTTTTAAATGAGTGCTCCCAATTGAAAAAGTACAATTTATTCTAAGTAAGTTCTACTCAATACCAGACCAAGTAATTTTATCTATTTACACTACTAGACTATCAAAATAAGCATATGAGATACTTCAGAACCAAA